TGTCACAATTAGATCGAATTCTACAATTAGAAAAGATCCAAGAATTAGAACTGGATTAAGACAACTAAAACAACAATTAAACAGTATAGAAACAAATTATAAATATATTTCCCAATTATCAAGACAACAAACTAATGAGCATATTCAAGAAATTGAAAGGGTCACAAATAGAAAAATATTAGAAGCAGAAACAGCAGAAGATAAAAAAGCTTACTTCTACAAAACAATATCCGCATTAACAGAAACAAAAGATGCTATTTTCTGGAAAAATAGAGATCTAGTAAAAGATCTAGAAGAAGAATATAGGTATGCAACTAATCAAGCACTAAACTTAGACAGAAAAGATTTTAAAGCAATGCAAAAATATGAACAATGAATCTTAGTAGAAAGATTCGCCAGACAAATAGAACAATGTAAAAGTGAACTATTATGAGAACAATATCTAGCCAAATATAGAGAACTATTAGGAGTATCTTTAGAAAATTTAGACAAAATGTATGACGTAGAATATGAGGAAAAAAAAATGTTCCAAGAACAACAACAAGCCAGAAGACAAGGCTTGGAACTACCAGAACATTACCACTGAAATATCTATATCACGAAGAATATAAATCAACAGTAAATGAACTACAAGAAACAGAACAAATGGCAGATAGATGGTTACTAGATGATAACTTTGGAAGAACATTAGAATGGTTAAATAAACAAGACAGATTAGTATATCAGAATACCAGAACAAACAATATCAAGAACAACAACAAGGCCAAGTTCACCAACATCACCAACCTTCCTTGATAAAGCAAAAGGTATGGTGCAGAGCATATTAAGTGTAGTACAACAAATGTTAAGTAGAAGAAATTCAATACAATCGACACAATCATCCCACTCTAAACAACATCAACATAAATCATCACCACTAATAAAAGAAGTACGACCAACTGATATAATATCAGAATCAAGTAGTCTTTATATACCAACAAGCGATAATGATGATGACCAACTAATATTACCAAAATATGGTCACAAAAGACAAAGGTCGCAACTATCAAATCAATCATTCGCAGTAAGAAATCCACGATTAAAACAATTTCGAAGAGAAAATCAACAAAGACAAGAACTATTCAGGCAAGCAGAACAAGAACAACTGATACAAGAGGATGTACAACAAATGGCTGAACTAGATGAATATATACAAGAAGACACAAATGACTATAATGATTATAATTGACAGAATAACTATAATAATCAATAAGAAGAATTATATGATCCAAATAACAAATATGAAGCGAGAGGATCATCTCTACGATACACACCAAAAGAAACAAGATGGACTAGAACTATAGAATCAGAATAGAATAGACAAAAAGTCCTATACCCAGTACCAACAGAATAGTCAGCATTAACAGATGACGACTAGAGAGAAGTATATAAACATACAGACCCATAGACTGAAAATACAAAACAAGAAGCAGATTTAGAAGATCTAGCTAAACATGAAATATAAATAGATGAAGAATCAGAACCAGAGCAAGGATATGGTATATCTGGAAACATATCTGACATAACAGATATAAATCTTAATTTCTATAAAGAAATAAAAGAACAATAACTACTCACATTAGACATATTATATTACCAACTGTACGAGAAGGAAAAAATGCTAAATATCAAATATTAGCTAATGAAAAAAC